CACTCAACAATTGCAAACACTTCAGATCGTCCCGTACTGAGGGAGGGAGGGAGAGGTCACTGCGCCTCCGCTTGCGTGTCTCCAGCCTCATCTCCAGCCTCCCCTCCCTCCGGGTGCTGCTGCAAGCAACACAGCTTTTCTCTCCCTACAGACACCCACAACCGACCACTTCAGCCCTTTTCGGCCCGTTATCTCCTCCCAAGAGCGTGGGGCTTCCGCGAGAGCAGTCTTGAATTATCTCTGGAGACCCTCTCCCCTTTCTCTTGTCGGCTCTGAAGCGGGATTTTCTGCAAGGGATGGAACCTGGGCGCTGAACTGACCCTTCTCGGGGTTTCACGCACTACCCAGGACCTCAACCTACCGGGAGAAAATTTCCTGACAGTGAGAACAATGAATCAGTGGAACGACCCGCCTCCAGAAGTTGTGAATGTTCCAAAACTTCCAGGGATGGACCTGAAAGAAACCCGACCGGGGTTACCCTCCGAGGCTCACTCCCGTCCCCATCGCCCATTTCTCCAGGAAGAGGGTGATGGGAGTTGGAGTTCCTCACGCGAGGACCCATCTCTTCCCCCCTCCCCCATTTTACCCATGCTGCTTGCGCCCAAGCAGGCAAAGGATGCGCGCGAGGCAGGTCCCGTTTCTAACCCACCCACCCACCCGCGAAGTGAGACGCTCGAGGGTTTTTCTCTCCCCTTCCTCCCCCCCCCGACCTCTTGGCCGAAGTGGCGCCCCAACTTCCCCAGTAGGAAAAAAAAGGGGGGGAGCAGAATTCGGGCCCCGGTGCCCGAACTGATGCTCTCTGGGGAACCCAAGGGCATCTCGCCTGCCTTCTCCGTCCCGATGGCGAACCGGCCCACCTTTGCTGCCGTCGTCGCCTACTCCTTCAGCTGCTCTTTGCCCGGTTCCGATCCTGGAGGGCGGAGTGGGAAGGAGAGAATGGGAGACGACGGCAGGGGTGGAGCTCAACGGGCCTCTGAGCCTAGGCGCCTAGAATGGGCAGGGACGCGTACTGCAACTTAAGGACTCTGCAAACGCACACCCGCCGCCACTGGGAGCGTGCAGAGCGCGAAACGTGAAAGAAGTATCTTCGCATGGATCTGTCCATCATCTGTCCAATGTCCAGACGTTTTTCTTTGCTTTTTCTCTGATTCTCTTCCCGCTGGAGAGGCAAGCCCTTTGTCATTTGCATCTGTGTGGCCTTGGACGTCCTTTACGCAATGATTTCCAACTTGGTCCACTTTGGTGGGGCGCTTTCAAGAGACAGCCTGCGTGTCAGTACTTTTTTCCCACACCCAGCCCCAGACATTTTGTGCTTCCCTTTTTGATTAGAACAAGCTGGCCATGTTGGGAAGAAAATGTCCATGTTTCAACCTCTTCGTAGACTATAGAATGATGGGGCAGGAAGGGACCTTGGAGGATCCTGGTCAAATGGTTGTCCAGACTATTTCTGAAAACCTGCAGTGATGGAGCAGCCACAACTTCTGGAGACAAGCCATTTCAATAGAATAGAATAGAATAGAATAGAATATAATATAATAATATAATAATATAAAATATAAAATATAAAATATAAAATATAAAATATAAAATATAAAATATAAAATATAAAATATAAAATATAAAATATAAAATATAAAATATAAAATATAAAATAGAATAGAATAGAATACAGAATTCCAGACAAGTGGCTATCTAGTCTCTTCTTAAAAGTTTCCAGTGTTGAAGCACACACAACTTCTAAAGGCAAGCTGTTCTACTCGTTAGTTGTTAATTCTACTTTGATTCTCTCATTGATTAGTTTCCATCCATTGCTTCTTGTCCTGCTTTCAGGTGCTTTGAAGAATAGCTTGATTCCCTCTTCTTTGTGGCAACTCCTGAAATATTGGAAGACTGCTATCATGCCACCTCTAGTCCTTCTCTTCATTGGACTAGACATACCCAATTCCTGCAACCTTTCTTTGTATGTTTTAGCCTCCAGCCCCCTAATCATCTTTGTTGCTGTTCTCTGCACTCTTTCCCAACATCTTTTTTATAATATGGTGACCAAAAGTGGATGCAATATTCCAGGCGTGGTCTTACTACGCCTTTATAAAGCACTACTAGTACTTCACATGATCTTGATTCTATCACTCTGTTGATGCAACCTCGGATTGCATTGGCTTTTTTGGCTGTTGCCACACACTGCTGGCTCATGTTTAAGTGATTGTCCACTAGGGAGATGGCATAAGCTAGTCTAGAGCTCATAACATCACCTTGCCAGCAATTACTCCGGCAATTCCAAGGAAAGGGTATTCCTGATGCTCTGGAATTTTATTGCCAAATATTAGACAATTGCAAACCTTCTGTAGCCGGGCATCTATACCATTTAACCCTAAGAAATAGAGATGGCCACAATACAAAAGAGAAAGAGTACAGAGAAGGGCAACAAAGATGATTAGGGAACTGAAGGCTAAAACATACGATGAACAATTGCAGGGACTGAGTATGTATAGTTTAATGAAGAAAAGGACTAGGGTCTATGGAGATTCTCAGTCATCCAGGTCAAAGTTATCCCAAAGATGATTCCATTCCCCACCATCCAGTCATAACTGAAGAAGCTTCTTGGATGAGAAGTGAAATGTCTTCAAAGAAAAATAAAGTCCAGTTGCTTCATGAAAAAGCATCTTTGACAAGGACTAGGGGTAACTTGATAGCAGTCTTCCAATATTTGAGAGGAGAGGGGGTCAACGTATTCTCCAAAGAACCTGAGGGCAGGACAAGAAGCAATGGATGGAAATTTATCAAGCAGAGAAGCAACCTAGAACTAAGGAGAAATTTCCTGACAGTTAGAAAATTAATAAATGGAACAACCTGCCTTCAGAAGTTGTGAATGCTCCAATGCTGGACATTTTTAAGAAGAGATTGGACAACCATTCGTCTGAAATGGTATAGGTTTCCTGCCTAAGCAGGCAGTTGGACTAGAAGACCTCCAAGGTCCCTTCTATTCTATTCTATTCTATTCTATTCTATTCTATTCTATTCTATTCTATTCTATTCTATTCTATTCTATTCTCCATTTCATATTCTATTCTATTCTATTCTATTCTATTCTATTCTATTCTATTCTATTCTATTCTATTCTATTCTATTCTATATTTCATATTCTATTCTATTCTATTCTATTCTACTCTACTCTACTCTACTCTACTCTACTCTACTCTACTCTACTCTACTCTACTCTACTCTATTCCTATTCCTATTTCTCATTCTATTCTGTTCTGTTCTATTCTGTTCTATTCTATTCTATTCTATTCTATTCTATTCTATTCTATTCTATTCTATATTCTATATTCTATTCTATTCTATTCTATTTTATTCACATTATAGTTTTTAAATAATTGGTATTTTCATGTGTACTGAGAATATTTATATTGTAGGATTCAGATATTTAATCAGTCATTTAAGAAATTTGTATGGGGAGTTTCCTCTCTAAAGATCTATAGACTGGACAAAAAGTTGCAGAGATTACCTGCCAAGACTGGACATTTGAGATCCTCTTTCCAAGCCTCCTCATGGCTGGTTGCACTCCTGATCCATACATTTCATGTAATGCATGTCCTAGAGCATGAATGGCATTGTANCTTGATTCAAAAATGTAATTCGGCAGTTTCTTTAAATTCTCCTTTCCTGTACACTGTTTTTGCCCCCTTGGAGGGATTTTGCCTGGTTTTTGAATCTTGCAATTAAAGACCACTTCCCACCACTGTGGGAGAAAAACATCCACTTGTGGGCTGAAAGGATCTAAAGACTGGAGGAAATGGCTGAACTCCAAGGTATCACCGGTGCACTCTCTAAAATGTAAAGACCCATGGAAGGGCATTATAAGCTTCAATATGTTTTGAGATCCTAGCACACTTACTTTCCAATGGGAAGTTAGGATCCAAATTTTGCAAAATGATGTCTTTGTCCATTCTTCACGAACGTTCATTGCCAATACTACATCTTTAATAATACTAGTCTCTCCAAACAGAACAATCACTTCAGCTTTAGACCAGGTTTTGAAACTATGAAGTAATTTCAACTTTGTAGTGGTAAGAAAATCATATTTAAACATCTCAGTAAAAGCCAGGCAGATCTCCTTCTCCTTGAGCATTGGTGTCAGAGTTGAGATGAAACGTTCTCCATTGTCACGTTCAGGGGCCAGAAGCCCAACCCAGTTCCACTGGAAATGCAGGAGCAGCTGGACTAAACCCACATACTGAGAGAATTCATTGGGATTAATCTGGAAGAAGGAAGGATAACTCTTCTTTCTCTCTGCGAGAACTCAAAGCCAACGCCGAGCTGGAGAAAGTGAGATTCTTTTTTCAAAGACAAAGTAAAGCTTAATGTTGCCTTTACTTTAGGGTCATCATTGTATGGTTTGTTGTCCCACTAATCAGGCTGACTCACTTTGAGTGGTAAGCTTAAACCTCTTCTCAGGAAGAGCTACCAATTACATATTTTGTCGGGTAGTGACAAGTGAGAAGTCAGTGAAATAAACCGATCAATCTGATACAGAGAATTAACTGTACCAAAATGTAGACACCTTTTTTGAAGAATAAGTTAGAAAGGAATTCCTCTTGGCAAGTAGAGCAGGGGTCCCCAACCTCCAGTCCGTGGACCAATACTGGGCTGCGGCATGCCAGCAACCGGTCCACACAAACAAGCAAAGCCCCATCTGCGAGATGCAGGCAGCACACAAAACCACGCACCCTCCGGTCCACAGAAAAACCTCTCTCCACTGAACTGGTCCCTGATGCCCAAAATGTTTGGGACCTCTGAAGTAGAGCATTTCAGAATAATATCATTTATTTCTTTAGGGTTAAATAAAAAGACACTTTGACACATAAAATATAGCATGCATTCTCTAAATCACCTTCTTCTGGTATGTACCCCCAAACACCTTTGGTTTCATCTTTGGCTTCTATGTGCATTTGTGCTATTTGTCTACTCCATAACTGTATCTAAAGGCGCCCCCTTACCTGTGAGACCTTAAAGATGCTGAAGATGGAGGCCATCTGCATTGAAGATTTTGAGTTGAGACCTCCAGTGACAGAGAGCAGAGTGTTCTGCCTGTCACACTGATAACCTGGAACCATTTGGCCTCCTGTGGAGAGCAAGGAGAGGCTGATTAAATAAACCCTCCTCTCAATCTCATGATTGTCAAAGATATGGAAACCAAGGGTGATGTTGGGGAGGAGAACCAAATCCTTGTTGATCTCTCTGACTGCAAACACCAGGGCCAGGAAGTGCTGGTAGTCCTTGGGCATGACTCTACAATGAAAACAAACAACAGTAACAACATTGGGGAACATTACAGGAAAGCTTGTGTATGCTGGTGGGGGTTTGAACTACACTAGGACATTGGAAATATTACAAGAACCAGTATTTCTAAAAAAAATCCCTGAGAAAGAAAGAAAGAAAGAAAGAAAGAAAGAAAGAGGGAGAGAGGGAGAAAGAAAGAAAGAAAGAAAGAAAGAGGGAGAGAGGGACAAAGAAAGAAAGAAAGAAAGAAAGGAAGAAAGAAAGAAGAAAGGAAGGAAGGAAGGAAGGAAGGAAAAACAAACAAAATGGTATAGGGTTTCCTGCCTGAGCAGGTTGTTGGACTAGAAGACCTCCAAGGTCCCTTCCAATTCTATTCTATTCTATTCTATTCTATTCTATTCTATTCTATTCTATTCTATTCTATTCTATTCTATAATAATAATAATAAAGTTGGAACGGACCTTGGAGGTCATCTAGTCCAACCCCCTGCTCAGGCAGGAAACCCTAGACCATTTCAGAAAAATGGCTGTCCAGTCTCTTCTTAAAAACTTCCAGTGTTGGAGCATTCACCACTTCTGGAGGCAGGTTGTTCCACTGGTTAATTGTCTTCACTGTCAAGAAGTTTCTCCTTAATTCCAGGTTGCTTCTCTCTCTTGTTATTCCCTATCAGAGAAGGGGAAAGACTAGGTGTACCCGTTTTTGATGAGATTGGGTATAGACAAAAACGAGATCTGCCATTGATAAATCATAATACATTCCAAATATCAAGTCAAAAGACATGGACTGAAGAAGAATGGTCCCCAGAAAGGATTATACAGGTGTACGGACCTGCTACTTGGGCAGAAGAAGGAATGTATGAGTATAGAACTCCTATTTATTTGCTTAATAGAATTATTAGGCTGCAAGCTGTATTAGAAATAATTATAAATGAGACAGCCTTGGTTTTAAATTTGGTTGCTAAAACCAACACCCAATTACACACAGCAGTGTATCAAAACCACCTGGTTTTGGATTATTTACTAGCAAAAGAAGGAGGCATTTGTGGAAAGTTCAATTTGACAAACTGTGGTCTCTAGATTGGTGACCAGGGAAAAGCAATCAAGGAGATGACTGATCGTATGAGGAAAATAGTCCAGGTCTTGGTTCAATCCTGGACAGGTGTCATGGACACAAGTTGGTTTGGAGAGATCTTTGATGATTGGCAAAGGGTAGTTTTTTCTGATTGCATTAGCTTTTGGAGGTCTTCTGGTTTTGCCATGTTTGATTCCTGTTACCCAAAGAACAGTTACCTCTACCATCTTGGGGATGATGGTCATAGCATCCTCTGTAAGGAGTGACAAACCCCATAAACCAGCCAAAGTCCTGACTATTACTGCAATGCCAAAGAAATATACATCATTGGTCACTAAGTAACAGAAAGCATTCTGTTGCAAAATTAAAAAGGGAGGAATGTAGGGTTCTGTACTGGAACTAGAAAAAGAAACAAATGATTTAGCTTAACTATTGCTATCTCGCTTCTGTAATCAGCTTTTGCATCAGGGACAAATTTTATTGCAAGCATGGGAAACATGTACACGGATGTGATGTACTGAAGGAGGGAATAAGGGAGTGTACAGGAATGATTGCTGTCTTCCTTATATTGTAATAACTCTGTTGTCTTGATTGGCTAACAAAGTTTATAAAGCAATGCTACTGACTTTCTAAGGTGTGGCACTCCTGAAAGTAACTGACTGCCAGCGTTCAGGACTTAATTCGATCAAATAAAAAGTACTGTTTCTTTAAAAAGTCTCTCCTTGAGTTTTCATGATTAGTTCTTATGATTTCTCAGGTTTTGCCAAGGGCCAGTGACCTTACAAGACTGTACAAGAACGATCCCATGGGAACCAAGGTCATTCTCACCAGACCCTGAAGGTGGAGAGAACTGTCAAGAAGACCAACAAATGCACTTATTGGATAATGTGACCAGTAGCATAATAGAAGGGAAGGAATTGTTACATTTTATTACTTTGAATCTCTGGGGGAAAGTTTAGAGTTGATTTCACTTTTGATCGTGCTGATATTATGTATCCAATAAACATGCTCTTTGAGGAATTCTCAAGCCTCAGAGTTCTAATCTATTCGATTTCATTAGTTGGAACCTTGACAACTAGGTTGTGTTAGGAGTAAGTCTTCATCCTGGTTCATCCAAGCCGGGAATAAATAAGCAAACATGGCAACTGCTTTGGGAAGAAGGTTACAGTTTATTGCAGAAGACAGATGGTCTTGCAAGAAGCAGCAGAGGAGAGGAAAGAGAGTGAGCACATGGGCAGGAGGTCTTTTTATACCCCCCTCCCAGCCCTGCTTGGGATAGTTT